GACAGGTGATTGTAATCCTGTCAGACAGCCAGGCATAGGTACAGAAAGGTTTAATAGCTAAACCTTGTCTGCCTTGCTTTTCTTTTATTTAAACCTGTGAAGATCTGACTGACCTAGAAAACTAAGTTTGGCAGGAGCCGTGTTGTTGTCCACTTCTGAAAGAAGTGAATGAGTTGGTTTTTGAAGGTGGCTCCGCAAATACAGACGTGGTTGTGTGTGGATGAAACCAAAGAGGCTTAGAGCACCACATACCATCCAATCTGACTCAAAGTTTGCAGACAGGCAAGAGAAATTCTCATTAGCCAATATCCATTAAACAGCAAACAGGTTAATCTTGCACCAAACAAACCTTTCATTAGGCCTAGCTTTTGAGAAAGCTTCACTAATGTACGGTTTGCAGCCGACTTTGAAAGATGCAGAAACCGAGCTAAAAGTGGGCCAAGATTAAAGAGCAAATTACTCCCACGGGTCAATCCAAATGACCCCTTCCAGTTTCTTGTAAACATCTAAACCTGTAGACTGTCTAAAGCCCTTGTAATACTGGAGACATCTAAAGGTTGTTTCTGCCCCTCAAGTGGTTAAAAGAAAACAAACATCTGAGCCCATTTTATGCTACATTTTCTAGCTTTGCTACCACTAGCAAGCAGAAGAACAAACATGTTTATTGGTACCAAGGCTAAAAGATGGTTCAGCAAAGGGTGTGCTGTGTTATTTTTGCCCTCACAGACAAAAAATATATATATTAAAAAAAAAAAAAAAATGAAAGAGGCTTATAATGTTTATAAAAATGTGTCTTTTTGTAGTGTAGTTGAGAACTTTTAACAACCAAACAGGAAAAGTTACCCACTGGTAATTACCTACCGGGCCACGAGAGCCAACCAAATAAAATCGACACCCCTGAGCAAAGAGCACTGAGATCTCAGAGGCAGCTCTTGAAATACTCCAGGTTTGAAAACAGTAGCCTGAGAGCGTCAGGCCTTTCCCCTTGGCTGACAAGTACTTGCTGAAGAATGGAAGAGGTTTTCCAGCAGATATTTTGAGTGTCAGGGGAAAAAAAAATAACCCATGAATTAATGTGGATTTTGAGGAGAGTGATATTGCCTAAAAATACCATTGTTAGTACAGGATTTTTTTTTTTTTTGACAGATTTGACAGATTTATGCAGCACCTTCTGACAGTATGAAGTTGTATGTATGACTTAACCTTTTTATTTCTGCCTTTTGGAGTTCATTCTCTGTCACTGTTGCCCTCTGCATTCAACTCTTCTGTAGACTCAATGCTCCTGACACTCATTGTTATTCTGCTCTCTGCTTTCAACATTATCCCAGTGAGATTCCCTCCCTGTCAAAGCACTGACTCAGTCTACCTCAGAGGACTGTCTGTTGATCTCTGAGACATGTATGAATCCTTCTGGTTTCACTATTGTTATTAGTTGGCTAAAAATGCCAAGATTCAAATGCTTAAAAGAAAAATGTTCACAAGCTTATTTCTATCACTTATATGACAATAATATAAAACCACAATTTAGTGCTCTGTTGTGCATTACTGAGAATTGTTTGCACTCACACTCTCTTCCTTTCACCTCGCTTGCAAGTATGCACCCCAGCACCTTTTCCAGGCTGCCTATGGGATGTTGTCTAAGAGTACTGTATAGAGGCACAAGGACTAACCAGCAAAATGCTGCATGGTTGCTTTGATGTCCGAGCCAAACACTGAAAAGCACATTATCTATAAGCCATATTTGTCCTCCTTTCTTCTTGAACCCAAAACAAGCCCTGGTCAGGTCACAGATCACTATAAATATTCCCACTAGGCATTAGCCTATTCTTAAAGAAATAGTTGTCAGTTCCAACTCAGCTGCAGGAAACCCTTTTTAGTTTTGTCAAAGCTGTGTAGCAGGAGAGTAGAGATGGAAAGCAAATGGAAGCAGATCAGTTTCCCAAGCAGCAGTTATGCCCATTTAAGATGCTATACCCAGCCCAAACTATTCCTTTGGCTGCAGCAGCACATTTCTGGGCCAGTATCCACGTGTCCAGCAACTTGCCCAGTCTGAACAAGTCTTATTTCTAGGCATGGCTTCAGCCAGCACCAGGACTTTGGGGCTGCAGCTCTTATTCCTCCTGCACCCCTGCAGCCTCTGGCAGCCAAAAGCCATGGCAGAAGCACCTCACTGCAGCACAGCCTACTGTAGCCTCCCCATAGGTAGAGCAGGCCCTGAAATCCCACAGGACAGCCAAGAACAAAAGCAGAATACTAAATACTGTGCAGTCAATAAGAGTAAACAGAATAATCAGAATTACAGCAGCCATCATCAGGCTGTCAGCCAGACTGAGGATCTGGGAGTTCTGGAAGGCCAGGATCACCTGTTTGCTGCGGGCCCCAAGACAGCTCTGACGAGCCTGGGAAAGCAACTTCTCAGTGCTGAAGGCTCTATCCCATCCCTCAAATGCACGCAGCACTGGCTGCTGTCAAAACTGCAATGCTACAACAAAGTACCTGCCAGCATTGCCTTTCTTGGTAATATTTACTTGGTGCAGATTTTGGACCTCTGTGAGGCATCACCGTCTCCATAAATTTCATAAACAAACCAGTTCATTACTAGCCTACTTAGCTGGTGTCACACAGCTGGAGATTCTGGTTAAGGACAGCGGTCCGTTCCCTCCCAGCAGCAGATAGCAAGCATTACACAACGGTAACCCAACCACTTCTGTCCAATCTTTCCAGCCTCCCTGAAACCTCCCAGAAAGCAATGGGTGCATTGCTCTCCTTGCTTGGCACTACAGCTGTTGTACATTGCACCAGTAACATCAAACTTATTTGTCTGCCCACAGCTGCACATATTGTTGCAGTTAAGGGAGAAAAACGATTCTTGTTCTGTTGCAGACTTAAAACGTGCTATTACACTTTTAACTATTACACCTCTCCATCTAAAAACACCTCCTGCAGACAAGTCTCCTTACCTGAGGAGCTCAGAAGCAGAAACCAGAAGTGTAAGCACCTTCAGCAACAATTAAAAAAAAGAAAGAAAAAAAAAAAAAATCAATCTATTCCAAGTGGCCCATTCCTCAAATTAGAGCTGATGGTTTTACTGCTAATTAAACTACCACTATATCATACAAAATGATTAAAGACTTAACTGGGTCTAACCTTCTACCACTAGAGATAGGAAAGTCATGGCAATCACAATGAAATACATGAGCAATTTAGGTTCTTACTGTAAAGAATAGCTGTCATTTTATTTATCAACAACACAGCAGTCGTCTTGACAACCTATTCTGTGTGTTACAGAGAGGCCTGACAGTTTACAGGGCATTGGGTCTGCTGTGCATGAAGATGAAGCTTTGTTGATTCATAATTCCCTCAAGCAGCTCATAATTGTGGATTGCAGTGTTAAACAAGTGCAGACTAAGCACTTAGATCCCAAAGAATAAAAAATGGGACTGTTAAAAGATTAAAGCAGGAACACTTTAGAAAGAAAGGTCACAATAAAAACAGCGTATCTCATCATCATCAGATAATCAAGTTAATTACTGCTGATCAGGCATGAAATAGCTACAAATGATACTACCTTCAGAAAACTCAAGGTTTCAGCTGGAAGATTAAATCTAGAATTAAAACAGGGTTAAATTTAAATCCGAGAGTTCACAGGAAGATGTACTGAAAGAAAAGAAAACCTGAAGTCAGCCCAATACTTCTAATTGAAGCAGTTTAGAAATGCAAACTTAGAGCTGACTGTTACGCTTAGAGGAAAGAAAGCAGCTCTTCACACTGAGCATTTTCATCTTTCAATCTCTGAGCATAATTACAAGCAGAGAACTCACACCTGTCACAGCCCTTCAACTTTACAGCCTGCTGCAGAGCTATAGTTGAACCAAGACTTTCTCTTGAACATCCTTGAGCAGTTTGTGGGATTACCTCACAAAGTGCCCTCCTGCCTCCTCTCAGTGCCTGAGAGACTTTGAAACACCACAAGTTCATTTTCCTTGAGGAAGATGATTTGCAGTTGAAGCTTTTTAAATTACTGTCATCCTTAGAATAATCTTCTACTCGGATCTCTAAAAAAAGGGAGTTTATATCTAGTCTACGTCAAAAGTTCTCAGAGAAACAAACCAGGTAGGAAGTGCTCACTGACCCAACAAGAGTCAGCTGGGCCTCCTGAAGGAAAATGGAAATGGCTGAAAGACATCAGAGAAGGAAAAAACAAAAAACCAAGGTTCATATCACCAGGCTGAGCTGCTCGGAGCATGCCCTTAGGGTGGAAATATCATACATCATGGCTAGCCAGAAAAAAAAGTTCACACTGGAACACCGTGCAGCATTTGCCATGGGGGTGGTATTAAGAGAGAGGATGTGGATGAGAGCGAGGTTTGAGGGATTCCCTGGCAGCCACAGGGAACGACAAATCATCTGGTTATTTTCATCAAAGTGATAGAAACGGAGTTGATCAAAACAAGCAGAAGGCACTGTTCTGTTTGGTCTGTACACTTTGTGCACTGCCACTTGGGAACTTAATTAGTCTGCATGCTTTCTGCTTCTATCTTTAGTCCGATGGCATACAGCTGTTCTTTTCGGCATCGCTGCCTCCTGTGCTCTCCCTGCTGTCGGGGCGGCCCTGCGGATGGCGGCGCTGCCCGGCCTCCCTCAGCCCGCCGCCGGGGGGAGCGCTGCTGCTGCCACCGGGCAGCTTCATTACCTGATTAATTAACCTGAGCCGCATTTAGGAAAGTTGTCTAAAGGCGGGGCCCTCGTTTGTTGCCTAAAACAGGTTAGGCCCAGGTGGTTTTCAAACGATGAAGTGAATTGATTTTCGCATGGATTACAGGATTACTTTGTTGCTGATTGTGGCAAGGAGGTTCCATATGTCTGCAATACCAGTAGAACTGACTGCTGTGCAGGACAAACCCCAGAGCCACGTGATGGTGCTACCACCAAGCCTCCCCTGCTGCAAAACTCAGTCAAAATGCTTAAAAAAAACCCCATCATCCTGACTGCAACCATACCTGTGTGGTGAGGGAAGCAGCGCGCTGCAGCAGCTCCTCCTCAGCTTGCATCGCAGGGCAGAGCTGCTGCTCCTCATGGGATCCCACAGGCTGTGCTGGAACAAACATGGCTTCCTGGGAGCAGGAACCTTCTGGAACCCGCTAGGGCTGCCCTAGGAAGCCTTCCTTCTGGAAGACACTAGGGCTGCCCTAGAAAAACTTTCCAGAAGAAAACTGTTGCACAAGGCACCTCATCTTGGGGTTGGGTTTAGGCCAGAGAGGTTGGAGCAGGGATCACAGCCTTCTCGGTGTCTCTGCTGCCGGCGCAGTGGCTGACAGTGTGCCTCTGAAATGCCCTCCCTCTGCAAAGGCACCGAGGCCCATCCAGAGTGAGGAAAACCCACTGAACTGTTGGCGTGCTGAGGATTTCCACTGAGTGTGGGTTATGAAAGCTGCTGAACTGAACAGACTGGAGGGGTCGTGCTGCCCTGTGAGGTGTGTGGAACAGCACTCAGGAAATGCAAAGAAGGTACGTCTGAAGAAGGAGGAGAGAGGCCTGGATGCGAACCACATTGTGAAGGTATGAAATGAAAACAAACAGGAGTGGGTTTAAGACTCATCTTGAATCTGTGTGCTGCAAAGAATATCCTTGCTTTTGTTTAAATTCATTCCCTCTGAAAGGTATTTGTGGCGTTCATCTGGAGCAGCAATGCTAGTCCTTATTTCAAGGTATCAAGGCCTGGCACTTTCCCCAGAAAATCTCTTGCCGTGATTTATTGCTGAGTGTCTGGAGAAGCCGGTGAGCAAGACTGTGCAAGGATTTGGAAGATGGGAGAAAATATCCAGGGCTGAGCTGAGGAGGGCATGCCCTGCTCAGACAGCAGAGCAGGACCTCCTGGGGTTGCCAGCCAAAGCCCAACTTGAGCGATGTCTCAGCTATGGGACATGAGCTCCCACTTCTGGTTGCCTACAGCACCCAACACAGATCTGCTGAAGTTACGGCTCAGAGAGAAATAGAAAATGGGCTTTATAGGCTGAGGCTGACAAGAGAGGAAGAGAATGCACCTCTGCAGCATGTGCAATAAATGAGATTCTTCAAAATGCCTGTGCCAATGTGTCGTTTCTTGCACAGAATGTAATAGCCTTGCACTTTGAAGGGAAACATGTATATCTCCCAGCTGGAATGCAGGCAGCATCCCCACGTCCAGCAGCAAGTCCCTAGTTCAGAGAAAAAATGATTTTTTCTCTGCAGTTAAAAAGTTCTACTCCCAAGATTTACTATGCAAGTATCCTCCAACTCCTGCCTCCTCCCCATTATTTTTTGTCTCTTGTAATCACTTCTCTCATATCCTAAAAATTCCTGTTTTACACGTCAGGTGCTGCGTATCATGCCTCACTCATGAGTTTTACATTCCTATGACATGGCAGACTTTGATACAATTACAGCCTGGTTACATATCTTAATTTATGTTACTATATTGCTGCAGTGATATCGGAGACAAATGTTTAATTCACAGAACCTCAGTTTCAAATTGCAGTCCCTGAATGCAAACAGCAGACTTCAATACTTTTTCATCAATTTCTTAGTTCATAAAAATCAATTTTTGTAGAGTTTTTACACTGTACATAAAAGACTGTGGCATCAATTAGCCTTAATTCTTTTTTTTTTCTTTTTTGGAAACCTCTTTGTAGAAAAATCTCATATTTCAGCAATTTGCATTATCCACACAATCTGCTTTGAAGTTCTAAGTTATGGTAAGAAAAGGATCCACTTATCTGCACATAAAAAATGTTCAAAGCTTATAAATTCCCTGAAACAGATGTACATTATCATTGGATTTGCCTTTCTCTCTTTGCTGTTGCATGGCTAATAGAGTTTCATGTGCCCCCTCACATCCTCCCCATTTAGCATCTTTTCTCTACAGAAGCATGCACCCTACTGTGCCAATCCACACTTCAAAGATTTCTGTCTATCTATTAGAAACAAAGCACAAAGTGAGAACATATGGCCCCTTTTAAATTTCCCACATTTAAGTCAATATCGTTTCTTTTCTCCTTTGGCAAAGAAACATAATAAGGTTTATCTTCTCCCTTCCTAAATCTGCTGGCTCTCTCAAACTGCTTGTGCCAATTCAGCAGTTACTTTGCAGCATCAGACTTGGCAGCACATATGAAAACAAAATCTCTAATTTTTTAAATTGCTTTTATTTCTCCAGATCAAGAAGATTCATTTAAATGATGAAAAAGGACAAAATGTAACTGCACACTTTCAGATAAGTGGATTTTAAACCCATGAAAGGGCACAGCAGAGTCTTGTTCAAGTTCCTTTCATAGTGACATCTTTCCAAGCATTTCCTAAAGGACGGAAGAGCATTTTGGAATCCAAGGCTATACTGAGTATGAGCATTCACTTCTCACATGTCCCAGAGCATCCACAGGAACCCTCTATTCTGGCATTTAGGGGAGTAGTTAGGCAGTAACAAGATGCTGCGGCCTCTCTTAAGGAAAAGGAACAGTTACTTGCCTCAGAATCACTTTAGTTCTTCAGTTTCCTCTGCTGAAGTCACAGACATAGCGAAAGTAGCTCTTGTGTGCCTGGAAGCAGAAATTTCTGGCCATTTATTCCATCCTCAGGGAGGTGGTTAACAGGACAAGCAGACTTAGCTCACAGTGAGTTTCTGGACATTAAAAACAGTGCCTACATAAAAAAAAAAGCTCCAAGTAAAATTAACTTCTTTAGCTCACATTAGAAAGAACAGCAACCACATAAGTAGTATCCTGTGAATGCTGCCTACCTAATTTGTGATTTAATTATAAAGGATTAGGTTGCAGGTATGATGTTTTTAGCAGAACAAGAAATGAAAGTCTTGCCCTGCTCCTGGAAACGCTGTGGCTTACTCCTTTAATTCATCCTCTCTAGCTAAGATGACTCCAAGTTTCATACTCCTAAACTGTCAAGTTTGTAATCTTTAATTGATTTTAGCATCCATTTATTGGACCAGGAAAATCCTTATAAAAACCTATCCTTGATCAGTGCAAGCTGTGAGTGCCCCAGGGCCCCGATTCCAAGAAAGTATAAATTGAAGTACCTCTGTTTACATCTGCCGATCCAGTTAAGCCACACAAAGTTTCCATTGAAACTCACAGAAGTCACACGTGCAGAGCCATTGAGGGATATGGCCTTAACAGATGGCATGGCCAAACGGCAAGGAGTGTGATTAAAGACATCAAAAGTAAAAAATATTCCCTGAGAAGGCTGTAAAGAGAGAGGAGGAATGTGAGCCCCACAGTGCTGTTTTTTGCTTCCCTTCATACTTTTGCACTTACTGGAAACTCCAAGTCTCTTTAATTGAGCTTTTCCTCCCTTCCACTCCTTGCAGGGTGAGGGGGTTAATTGCTGCAGACTGAAACATTACAGTTTTCATTTTCCTGCTTACTACTGGCATGATGAGTGTGCAGGAATGCCTTGGGCATGCAGTACACAGATGTGCATGCAGCAGTTGGAGCAAGGGTGGAATAAATACCTCCAGCCTCTATGGCCATGGATATCCGTAAAGCACTTTATCTGTGACTTTAAATATCAGCGCTGGCCAAGTGAGACCTTAATGCTAATTGCCATGGCATTTCACTGTTTATCTTAGTTGAACTAGCATTACCAGTCCTGGTTGTTAACAACCTCAAGTGGCACTTTATTCATCTATCAACAGTCTTATCCTGTGAACAAGCAAGCAAAGAACTATAAACACCCACTCCAAAGTCACTTTGCAGGTTTAAACTAAAGCCCTTGGAAAAAGGCCTTTCACAGAACTCCAGTGAGAACAGACAAAATACAAGCTTCAAAACAACATTTTAATCTACAAAGTTTTATTTGTCTTTTTAAACTTGTAAACCATAAAAAGAGCTTATCAAATATCTGAAATTAGTACAAGAAAAAATGATGACTTATATAGCAAACTGCATTTGAAGGTCCAAATTCAAAGACATGCATGGGGTTCTCCTGGTTTCCATTTGTGAAGCTAGAGACAAATTTGGCCCAGTTAATTATGTGTTTTATTAAAAAATTCACAAAGCCTTAATGTGCTTCACTGAACAAATAGAACAGAATGGGAACGATTAAGTGCACGAATAAGCACTCAGCACCAGAAGGATCTGAACCCAGTTTTCATTCGTAAAGTACAGGCTAACCAAAATAGCACATCTCTTAGCTAAGAGCAATTACAGGCTTGCTTTGTCTACATGGACTAGGCACTCAAAGGAAGACACGAAGCCCACTTCCTATGCACTTTGTAAAACAAAACATACAAAACCCCAGAAAGCACAGTGCACATAATTATCAATACTCCTGATATCGTTAGATTAATTCTTGCCCATTTCCAAATCTATAAAGCCCCTTAACACTATCTTCAACATTCTTGTGAAACTTCTGGAACTCTCTACTTTCTAGACCCTGAAATACCAGGCCAACGAGACAATTAGTGTGATCCAGGCTGCAGTTTCTTGTGATATCAGGATTAGACTGGGTGTCAGTAGACTTCCAAGGCAAAGCTAGTGCTTAGCAGTTAGAAAACAGGGTAGGCATGGAAGCTTTGGGCAACATTTAACCAACTTGTTTGTAATCAAGAAGAGAAGGATCTGATGCTCTAATTCAAGGTGAATACTAAAGAATATAAAAAACCATCTATAGAAGAAACACCCCAGCTAATGCAAAAAACTCCCTCGACTTGGACTGGTTCTCAGGAACCCAGGGCAGTGTTTCTCATGCTGCCATGCCAAAGAGCCCCAGTGACTATCCACAACTTTCCTGCCTTGCGCCTCCCACTGCACATCGGAGATGGACCTCTTCTAGAAAGTCTTTCAAGTTTTCCCTGTGAAATATATTCTATGAGCTATTATTGCTGTTTTGTGAGCAACAAATATACCACAAGAGGTTCATGAAAGCAGTATGAATGTAGCTTCTTCTACATACAGTATTTTCCTTCCTCCTTGCTGTTTTTTCCTCCACTGGTAGACGGTCCTTTGCTATTCCCACACTTCACAAATCTTTCCATCCTTCCCTTGTCAGTCCTTCTTCACAGCTCTAAACCTCACAGTAATCCATATGTATAGTCCTTAAGTCCTGCTATTTTAAAACAAAGAAATTAGAAGAACTCATCCATATCATTTCTATCACTTTAGCTCAGTAGGATTGAATTATCTAGAATTATATAGAAATACAGAAGTAAATTAACTCATCGTTGAAAACCTCTCTATTTAATAACTAGCATCCAAACTGCAAATAAGATGCAGTATAATGCCTACTGAATAATTTCAATAGAATGTTATTTGCTTTTCTAAGTCTGTTTTTTTTAGCCCATTTTTAGCACATTTTAAATGTATACAAGTAAAAAAAGATCCTAAACATCCCTCTTCCAAGTCAAATCAACTGAACAGTTGCTAATTATGCGAAGAAAATAAATAATTATGTGATAAATTGTGGGTGGTTTTGCAGCTAAGTGCATTAGAGAAGAAATCTCATATCCAGAAGTTATGCAGCAAACATACGAAGGTCAATTTTTATTTCATGGATTTTCTAACACGTTTCTGCTTGGTAGGTTTAAAAAAAAAAAAAAAGAAGTCTGATAATGAACATGATGCTGAATACAACTTAGTTCCCACTGAAACCGTAAATCATGTTTGAAAATGTATTTTCAGATTTTGATGAATTGCATCAAGGTAATTAAAGGTGAGAGCTGATTAGCTGACATGTTTCCAAACATGAACATTCTTGCCTACACTCCAGGCAAAAATTATGTTAAATGTTTTTGCAGATTTTCTAGCACGATGAATTTTCCCAAGTGTAACTGTGCCCCAAGGGGCCTAACTTTCTTGTTAATTGGAACACAAATGAAATCTGTCACTCAATAATTGAGGTACACAATGACATGTGGAGAACAGTAAGCATTCATCATATCTATATAATTATGTGGCAACATTTAGACTGTTGAGCAAACACAGTAGTTACCCATTAGTAAGAGATCACCTCTGCCAGAGTATGTTCTGAGGCATTCACTAATTTCTGACAGAGGATACCTTTTAGTACAAACACGTACATATCACTTCCTCTAAGTTACTTCTCCAGCTGTATTTGCTGTTCTGTGCTGATGGTGACTAGGGTAGGAAGGCAGCCAGAGGGGTCAAAGATAACGTGGCTTGCAGGGTTTGCCTGAAGTGGGTGGTCTGCTGATACAACCAGGAGAGCCTGTACTTCAACCGTGGGCAGAACTGGGTCTAAGTTTCTGTTAGTGAATAAATGATGGGTGGATGTCTGAAAGACATTTGGAAGTGCTTTATGATATGAATATAAAGCACAGTATTTCTGCTCATTTTAATTAACTTACCAGCTTGATCTCTTATACGTCTCTATTTAATATCAGCTATTACAAAACCATCAGCAGTAAGATGCATAAAAAGTAAATGCTGAAATCACTGTCTGTACATTAAACCCAAAGCACTGGAATGAAATTATGGACACCCTGAAGCCAGTGACAATCTGGAAATCTTGCCAGATTTCACTGGGACAGAGATTTTACTTTGCTATCCTTAGCTTTGTTCACTTTGCATGAGGTGCTCTTGAAGTTGTGGGAAGAGCTTAGCAATCCTTATTTTAGAAAGCTTGGTTTTCTCAAAATTGTAAGTAGCAGAGCAAAATTTTTCAGCTGAAATTTTCACTAGCAATCAGTGCAAATTTGGGGATTGGATTCGTTTTGCTGAATCGTTTTATGTAAAAATAGAAAAAGTAAGGGAAAAGGCTGCTGGTTTTGTTCGAAATCACTTAATGCCATTCCATTTTATTTTCAAATAGTAACAATATACTAAACTCTATTTTTTTCTCCTTGGAAATTAAATGTTTTGTTTGACCAGAAACTAATCTCTTCTAATTTTAGATTTGGCCACAGTTTTAACCCCTCCCACCCAAATTATAATTTTTTAAGGTTTTCAGAATTAAAACCAACCTGAAAAATCAGTTACATGACACAGCTCTAATAGTAGGGGACAAGAAATTTAATTTTTAAAGTTAGCACTTTAATTATAAAGCCAAAGCATATCAAGTCCATACCTCATGATCTGATCCTATTCCCAAAAACGTTAATGCAAGTTCTTTCATCAGTGAGGTCTGCAAGCACTGACAGCAATTGCAATAAGCTCCTGAAATCCACGAGAAGAAGAAGGAAATATACTTTCTGAACTAGTAAAACTTTAATTAACAGGGGGTTCTCTTGGCACAGTTTTTGCTGTTAAATAAATAAAGCATTTAGTCAAAACCATCTATATTTACTATACAAAATACTGAAAAGCAAACGTTTTAAAAGATATGGAAAGTTCGGGTTCTGTGAAAAGAAACTGTGCTACATGTTACTCACACTTAATGCACATAACACAACTGCAGAACAGTATTTAGATACTGTATGTTCATACATGGCTGGTGTAAAGTTTTAGCATGGGGATGCCACGTTATTAACAGTTTTGTATTTCACAGGATCTAAACAAGGTAGAACATGTCTTTTGAATCTCCAAATATAAAACACCAACCAAATTAATGCAAGGCTGTATTCAATGGCCAGTTGTGTTACATTCCAAAGCTCACTTGCACAGCTAGTACTGCACACTTTTCATTCAGATGGAATTTTGTTATTGGTGCTGTTATCTTTTCAAACAAAATTATCTTTGAGTGAGAGGGCTTTTATGCCCCTTTGCAGCCCTTTCTTAGAAAAACCCACAGCTCTGAGAGCAATCTAGTTTTCCAGAACATTTTCTGGTTTTCAGCAATGGTCTGCATTAGAAAAATTGACAAGGAAATAATTCCCACCTCCCAGTCTTTCTGGCATATGCCCCACTGAAAAGAGAACAGCTTTAAGAATATTTTCAAAACAAATAGCATGGCATCCCTCCTTAGATGGAATGTACACTCGTGTGTTTGCATGCGGTATAACGTAAGTCACTCGAATACATCAGACTTTGTTAACACTATAATATAAATAAGCTTATTCCTTCTACTAGACATATAAATGCCTTTTTTTTGCAGTCCATAATTATATATACATTGAAAAGAATGATACACAAGCAGCAAAAAAGGCTTAGACTAGAACAACTCAGTGGTAACTAACCAAATTTGTGGCCTTTTCACGTTTTCAATACAGAGTTCTGAATATAAATATTTTTGGACTTTAGGAATTTAAAAAATAAACAGAACAGTATAGTTGTCACACAGATCAAACACATTTTCAAAACATTTTTTTAGATTTAACAGAATATACTGTTGACAGCTTAAAAAAAAAAAAAAGTTTTTTTTTTTTTAAAGAGGACAAGAAGCCCAAATAACTGCTGATTGGGGGAGACAAAAGATGGACTTATTTACCAAGAAGCAGCGATCCTACCCACATTCCATAAGAAGGCAAAGCCTTCAACTTTTCATTTAAAAGTTGACATCTCTGCATTCTGAGGAAGGGAGACATCCCTCTAAAAGTGGTCAGCAGTTCTGGTCAGCACTCCTTTTTGGACTGATCAACTCTAGTCAGAGAAAGGATAATCATAAAGGGCTTATAACAATGTGGGATAGTTACATTTTACAATATATACTATAGACAAAATACCACAACATTTAAAATAATTAAAACCAAAAGCAAATATGTTTGATAGAACAGTTATATTTTTATGTGAGGAGTTCCCTACTTCAAAGTACCAAAAGCAATGTAGGCGATTTTCAGTCACTTTCTACCTGCAAAACAGTGACCTTTATAAAACCCAACTGAATGTATTATAAAGCTGGGCCCTACAGAAAGTAAATCTTGATTGGACCGACCCTTTTTTTCACTTTTACAATTTGCTTTTGACTTTCATATTTCTCAGCAGCCAGTAAGGTCTTGTGAGCATGGTCTCATTCTCCCTCATGGAAAGGAAGCTCTTTGATATGAAAGAAGCAGAAGAGGCCAGAATGACTGTGAAAGATCTTTTTTTACATGTTGAATTGTCTCTAAAATGGGAGAATCACAAATTGGTAGGTGCTGAAGAAATTTAAATTGGAGGCACCTATGAAAATGCCATGTTACATCTTTCATAATGTCACTGTTACTGAAAAAAATCATAATGTTAATACTCAAACCACAGATCTCTAAAACACAACAAAATGTACCTGAGAGTGTGCATATTTATATATATATATTTATATTTATATCTTATATATATTTGCCAACATTTAAAGTGAGAAAGTATATTTTCCTCAATTCTTTCTCAAAACAAAGAACTGTGGATTTAAACAAAACAAAAACCCCAAATAACCCCTCTCCTTCCCAAACCCCCATCAATTATACTTATGGCCCAAGCACTAAAGTTTAGTGATGGTTTTGAGAACACCATTTCACATCCTCCTCTTTTCAAATGGTTACCCCAGACAGAATGGAGAGTAAGCAAGAGAAAAAAAAAAAAAGTGTATTTAAATACTACCCAGTATATAACAAACTGTATTTGTGTCGGTGAAGAATCTCAAAGAAAATAAAGTGTAAGTCGTACAGATGTAGCTCTGTTGACAAGTATAGCTAATATTTCCATGTAATTAAGATAATTTGAAAGGATGTGAACACAAACAGGCTACACCAATGCAGTATATTAAAATTCCCCCTGTAGCACATTACAATCAATAAAAAGAAAATAAAATCTGAATAATACTAGAGGTAGCAGCTGTTTGTATTTTCTGTTATTCTGAGCATCTCTGGAGTCCAAAACTTCGAACATTGCTCCCCTGATAAAAGGCTTGTGTGCGATCAGCCGACATACAGCAAGCAGACTGGTAAGCTAGATGTCTGCAATAGTGTTTGAAGTATCTTTCCTTCTACAATGGAAGTAGTACTTGTAAAGAAGTGTGCTGACGACCTGCATTAAATCACAGCTCAAAAAGCTATGGCTGTTTGCTGTTTTACAAGCCACTTAAAAAAAAAAAAAAATCCACAAGTTGTTTAAGTAAGCTATGCAGTTCCACAACATATAAATAGGGTAAGTTTCAAGAGTTCCATATAACCTCTAAAATAAATGCTAGCTGAATATTAATGGAGTAACAATAATATTAATCAGTAATGCCTTAGTTCTGGTGTCACAAGAACGTGCTTCCTTCATATGGGATGACTCCTGGAGGATGTTGGTGGGATCTGTTTTATGTCTGGTAGAAGTGATGGTAGTGGTGGTGGTGCTCATGGTGGTGGTGGTGTTCATGTCTCTGTATCATTTGTCCAACTTGACCTTCATATAGAATGACTGTTGGCAGGTCTCTCACATGTTCCTTTTCCACAACTGTCCCTGGAGACTGGAAGGTTTTGCACATTTGGTGATTCTCCTTTGCTCTCTGCTTATGCTTCTTATGAACCTGTTGAGACTGCAAGGGGAGATAAGGAAGATTCTGGCCCACCCGTGCACTTGGGGAAGCCATTGGCATGGCCCCTCCTTGAAAAGGTTTATTTCTTACTGCCCTTCCAGAATGCACAGGAGCAACATTTTTACCCTGGGCCTTGGGAGATCTCACAAAGTGCTTGTTTGAGTCCTGGTTCCGGAGCCTCTGTTGGATTTCTGCAATCTTGGCATAAGAACTCTCAGCCAGATTGATGTGGCTTGGATCCACCACTTGAGATTTCCTATGGTGGGCATGGAAGGTTTCAGGTTCATGAGAACGGGATCTAGTTTGACTCACAACTCTGCTTGGTGGGTCATGTTTTTGAACTGCTGGAGGAGATCCTAGAGAATAACAAGCTGAATTAGTCATCTAGTATTTCAAAGTTTTAATTAGTAACATACAGTTGGCAGGGATAGCATTATCAGCAGAGTGAATTTTTCCTAAGGAAGTAAATGCAATTATAACTGTCTAGTTTATCTGCATTTAATAATTTTGATTAGTAAATAATACACACACATATATCTACATATGTAAACATATATTCCATTATATGTATTTGAAAGTTCTTACATTTCATTCTCTTTCATTCATCTATTTGAAATGCACCAGAATAACTGCGAGCAGAATAGTAAGAACTTGACAGAGGACAGGGGAAAAGAGGAAATCCAAATCATTTTAACTGGGGAACCAAAAGCGAAATTCCAGATATGAACCCATATTCTCTGATTTTCTGGTCTGTAATGAGTACAAAAAAACCTCCAAATATATGCTGGTATCATCTTGAGAATGACCTCTACTATCCAAAAATCAGTCCTCACCTCACCCATAGACTAAACTTAATAGTTCAGATACAAAGATTGTTCTCTTAGGCTCACCTCCAAGTTTACCTACACAAACAAGTACTTCAAAGCAGGCTTGCAGCACATTAACCACTGCATTGTGATTCCACCTTGCAGCATTTGTACAGTTCTTTTCCTTCAAAATTCCTTTCCCCTGATGTGGAACATTCAACTAAAGAAAGAAAAGACCCAAAGCTTGCAACATAAACTACCAAATTACCTGGCCCAAACTTTGATGTGTAGTTTTCTATTCCTGCAAGATCCAAATAGTGGTTTCTCCTTTCAATGTTCTCATCAACACAATGACGATAGCACTCACTTTGCTCTGGATTGTTCTCACTCTGGTGATATCTGTCAGCAGAAAGCAAAATTACAATTCAGCAGAAGTTCTTTATTGTTGTTATCACCATCTGCAAATCAACAACTAATGGCCCCTTTGAAGTGACAGGAGCGGCTCACAAAGAAACAACAAATGCTTGAAATTCTGGGTGACCAGATTTGCTAAGTTGATAGGCCTGAACTGACTGTTCTTTAATATAAATTGACCCAGATGTTGCAAAGCAAAGGAGGCTTTCCAATTGCATCACACATACAAAACCAAATAAAAATGCTTCACGGATTTATTACATTCTGCCTTAGGGCCAAACCATTCAACTGATTCTCTAATCTGGACATGCCTGCTGTTTGATTCACCTCTGTCCCCACCACTGTTATGAACCGTGAGTGCTGGGGTAAGCCTTGTGTCAGATACACACTTGTGTATCTGCTTCAGAAAGACAAGCAACAGGTGTTGTAACTAGAGAGAATCTGGGAAGAAGAGGTGTTGGTAGGACACCTGGAGATAACTGCTGCTTTCCAAAACACAAATAATAAGGTCAGATCAACCACTGGCTTCAGAATCTCAACTCCTTTTCCTGCTCAGCTTTGCAATTTTATTTATAGCAGAACTATTTCCTGTAAATGAATATCTGAAATACCATTCATTTATGAGACAGAAAAAAAGTCAGCTAGAGATTTATAGTTGCCCAACAATTTAATTCAGCAGTTAAAATGGATGTTTGCAGATACGAGCAATGTATCTTCAATATAACAAATAGGACAAGAACTGCCTGTCATTCAGATACTTCACTTCGAAGACCACAAGATGCTCTGCTTTTTCATATACTCCATGTGACTGCAGTGATGTCAGCCTAAGACTAGAATCTGTCTTTGTATCCTATATGAGTTGCTAAGTACAGGTTCCATTCTGTATGGTGGCAAGTACTCTGTTTGTAGCCTATTAACACATTTCCAGATTTCCAGAGGTTACTGGAAATTGCTCTTTGGCATGAACTGCTTTCCTGGTCTAGGGTCACACTGTTCAGGACATTACAGAACAGAGTTCCTAGTGTCTGTGTCATACAGAGGTCTTCAGGTTCTTTGATAAATGTCATAAGATTTGACCTACCTGGAAAATAATTTGGTAGAGTCTCCTGAATGAAGGAGAGCCTTCCTGGAAAGCAGCTAAGCTGTAAAGACTGAGTCAGCTTTGAATTTCAGAAGTGACATGTGGTACTGTCAAAAAAGAGGGAATGTCCGGATGTTCTTTATTTTTCTAGATAGGTTGCCAGCTAGGTACCCTACCTGCAAAGACACACCTTTAAAGGTTGTTACTCTTTAGCAAATCAACTTAAGAGATCTCTGGGGTAGAACTTGGCTAACTGATGTTGCCAGGTTAAGTCATCTATAGAAACTATCAGCACAATGCAATGCAAGAGCTGAAGACAGTGCACAGTCAACATTCAAAAAAAACCACTGTTGGGTTTGATCCAGCACATTAAGTAACACTGCACACTGCACACAGCACTGCCTGTTGAAAACAAAATTAACAGAGAACCTGTTTTTTTTTTCTTGTAATAAATTCCATCTCTCATCAAGATATTGAAGAAAAGCAATGCCAGTACTGCCACAGCCCTCCATTCTAATAGCTTTCTTGCATGCAAGATGATGTTCAGCAGTACAAATATACACAGCAAAGCAATTATACACTGATGAGAGATGTGCTCCACTGTCAGAGAGAACTAAAAGTACTTCTGAGAATGGAGCCGTCTGGCACCCAGCCGCACAGTGCTCTTCTGCTTGTGTATGGGAATATCCAGGCATGCATCAAGCATGCATCACACACAGAGAGTAAGAATACACATTTCTGCTACTGATAAAGAGGGTAGATCTCAGCTGGATATAAGGAAAAAGTCTTTTACGATGAGGGTGGTGAGACACTGGAACAGGTTGCCTGGAGATGTGGTGAAAGCCTCATCCCTGGAGACTTTCAAGGCCAGGCTGGACCAGGCTCTCAGCAACCTGATCTAAACATGGATGTCCCTGTTCACTGCAGGGGAGCTGAACTAGATGGCCTTTAAATGTCCCTTCCAACTCTAAGGATTCTGTGATTCTATGATATCTGTTTTTAATTAAAAAAAAGGCATCTGCTTAAGAGTTGTGGAGTGTATGAAAGCTCTATCTAAAATTCCCACACTGGACTGTCATTCTAATGGTAAGTATACAGCAACACAGTGGGTAAATGGAATAGAGTGGTGACAGAGTTCTGGGCAGAAAAATGAAGAGATATTTCCTGAAAGCCACACTCACAGATAACAGACAGCTTAGGGCAGCCAGGGATAAATCCTGGCAGGGAAGAAAGAGTGAGAGAATGTGCATCCTTGGTAAAGTTAAGATGTTTAGAGGCTGCTGTGCATCATATTTTCCATGTTGCACTAAACCAAACAAACCAGGGTGGCATTAGGATATCCAACTGAAAGCTTCCTGCCAGCTCTCTTCCACCACCATTTTCTACCTCACATGCCAGGCAAGCTAGTTATGAATGTAGTTGCTTGATCTTGATACTTGCATCAGCCCTACAGGTGAAAACTTCTGCTTGTAGCTTCCAGCAGTTGAAAAATCTAACCCATTTATCTCCCACCTTCAGGATAAAAAAACATTTCTATCCATTCTATCTTGAATATTAATCACATCTTGCCTAGAATTCCTAAGTGACTGAATTTGTGAAATGTGTGCACTTCTCACAAGTTCTCACTGCTGCTCTTGAGGGGAAGCTTCAGTGCTAATATCATGAGATAGTGATAAGGCTCAGCTTTCCAGACAGCAATTTAGCCAGTGCACCAATACCAGTGCAGCACACACAGTGGCCAGACTCTTTGTCCTGTCCACATTTAATGAGATGGAACAAAAACTGTCAGATGTTGACAGTTGCCTGATGCTGCTCTGCAAAGGTACAGTTTTGTCCACTCTAGGAAGCCTCCTACCAAAAGGATGAGAAAGACAGACACAGCAGGGCCAAGCATCTACCCCAATATTTGATGCCTCTGTGCCTATGGATATGAATGAAAAGAGTGCCATTCCTAAAACATTTCCAAAAACAGGACTTTAAAGGTGGATAAGAGAGGGACTTGAAACTGAAAGAGGATTTTTGCAATAGATCATCAAAGAGTCCATTAAATATAAAGAGCAAACCTTTGTCAGTGGAAACCTGGGATCACTTTTAGACCAGTAAGCAAAAACTTTCTGTTTATACTCAGTGCTCTTTATTTCACAAAAGATTTTGTACAGAGTTACTAATAAAAGTCATCTTTAATTCTGAAATTTAATCCAGCTGCCATTCACAGTGTCATAACTCATTAACATTTTTACTCTGTCCAGAAAAGGGAGGCACATTTTTGTGTCATTTTTAACAAAATTGAATGCTCTGCCTTCTGATAAATTTATTAAACTCAGCACATTTCTTTTGGGTAAATATCCCTAAATCTAAGGAAAGACAGAACTGATTTTTATTTTGCAGCGGAAGAAACAAATACTAATGCAATATGATTACTATGGCATTTCTGTAAATATTCGTCTCTTCCTTAGCATGAAGTAGAAAGTCCTAAATGAAGCTGATACTATACACTGAAATGACCTATTTGGAGCAACAGATCTACATTAAAATGTATCAGAATCACCTGCATTGGTTTTATTTTCCTACTCATTAAAATATCCTGTTCAGAAAAGGAATAGCACACCTACATTTGACTGAGAGACAAACATTCTTCCTAGCTGAAAAAAATTTAACACTTGAAAAATATATTGCAAATGACTAGCACATATTCTGAAGTTCAGTGCCAGAAAGAAGTCACGATAACAGGGTAGGCACATATTCTTGCCAGCCTTGCAAAAGGCATGATTACACATTTTCAGAAGAAAAAGCCTGCCCAGGACTGGCATCCAAAATAATAAACTGTACATTCTGTTAGGAAAGAACTAAAAGTCCTTTTTTGTCTGATCTCTAGATGGCTGCTAGTGTACCTGCAGCTGTTCAAAAAAGAAACTACTGTGCTTGTGCTCTACTGGAAATGGATGCATTCGGGAGAAATGGCTTTAAACTATAAGAGGTTAGATTTAAGTTAGATGTTAGAAAGAAGTTTTTACTCAGAGGGTGATGAGGCGCTGGAACAGGCTGCTCAGAGAGGTTGTGGATACCCCATCTCTGGCGGCACTCAAGACGAGTCTGGAAGGGATTTTGGGAGCCTGAACTAGCGCTTGGCAGGGGGTTGGAACTGGATAATCTTTAAGGTCCTCCCCAGCCTAAGCCATTCTGTGATTCTGTATAAGTTATGCAGGCTGGATTTCGTTGAAAAACAACAAACAGGTGTTTTTTCAAGTAGTGAAGTGTTTTCTGAATTTCATGAATTAAAAAAAAAAAAAAAAAAAAGGAATGAAATGATGAAATGAAATGGTCCTAGTTTTCCTTCAAGATTACAATAAATGTATTGGTTCTAAGTCAGCAGGCTAATTCCTACACAAGTGATACTTAATAACTAATTCCGTAAAGGAGCACCTGATATGGAAGTGGGGAAGCAGGGTTTATGGCAGGAGGAGTCAGCAGAGACAGCCACTCTGCTAAGTGAGGTGAATTTTCCTCTACTAACTGCACAAACACACTCTGCCAGCGGGGCTGAGCCACCCACAGCTGCTGTAACCAGAACTACTGCAGCAGAAGAGAGCATGAAGCTAGCAGCATGCTGGAAGCTCTGGATGTTGCATGCTCAGTAGGACATGCCCTATGAAGACTGCTTTCTGCACAGGTGATTCTGTCTGCTCCTCAGCTACAAGCTCCATTTTCCCCTCATTTCTGCTCAACATTCCAGTGCCAGCTCAAAGCTGCTTCCTTCAGGAGAAAAGGCAGTAGGAGAAGTGGTTATGATCCACTGAGCAAGAATGAGTAAAAAAAGCCTGGATCTTATTAAACTGACCAGTGAAAAAGATGGGCTGAAAGGAGAATGGGGACAGGCAGGAGCTGGCATCTATGAAGATGAAAAGACTTCAGGACACTTTTAACCAGAAGGCGGTGTTGTATTGCTTAAAGTTCACTAATAAGTACAGTATCTGCAGATAGCATCTAGAAGGATACTACATGTCCTCTGAGGAGCAGACAGAAGAAAATGCAAGAAAATAACTTTCACTCTTAAAAGAAAGAAACCTAAAATGTAATCAAAACTTTGTTGCTGCTTTTTTATATGAAGTACTCACACATTGATACTATCAGCTGCTTGCTCCAGGGAGAAAAAACACTCTAATGCTGCTGCTTTAATATTTTTAAATAAATAAATAAATGCAAATTCATCAATAGTTGAGGATTCCTCAAAGCTACCCAGTTCCTCTCAGAAGACTCATTTCTTTTCCCTTACCTGAGAGAAGCCCGTTGCTTCTTTTCAGAGCTTCTTAACTCTTCATTGGCTTTGCTTTCAGCCCTATGCCTTGCACTCTGCAAATCTACCAGCAAGAAAAAAAACATTATTCTCACATTGCTGTCCTTCCTAATCAGTATAACTAACATGCTACATGGCAAATACTGTTTTTCTAGTCTGTAGATCAAGATGTGATGCATCATTTCATAAAGCCTTCCTGAAAGTGCTTTTGCCCACAGGACGGATTTCAAGCAGACATAACCTTGGCTGTAGGACATTAGTCAGGGTTGGGCTGAGGGCCATTTGGTTGGTTAAATGGAGCCACATTCACACTGATAAACTTGTCCCTCAGGAGGGCTTGGTAGTTTGGATTTCAATCTTGCACTAATGCATGACAAAGCTTTCCAGCAGAGCAAATTTTCTTATGTTTGCACTTGGCTGAATAGATGTCTATATTAAAACCAAGATATCAAGGCTCTTCTCCTGGAGAAGGTGCCCACATTTTCTACTGAAGTATTACACAAAACACTGTAAGAATTTTAATTTAGTACTACTTAACCTACTGAAGCAATTACGTTCATACAGCTATTATTAGAGTGAATATAAGGTGAATAATCCATCATAGTATAAGCCATTTTATAATGTTATGCTCTTCCAGTATTAAAAAAAATGTGTGCAATTTTTACACATTGACTCATGAAGTTCAGTTCTGCTTAACTGTTTATTTTTATCCAGCAACAGTGATAGGTACTTGCAAAAAGAATTTTTATACCACACCTGTTGTCACACAAACTGAACACTGTAATAATAGCACAGTTAGAGTGGCATAAATAGAAAAGGCCTTAAATCTGCCTTTCAGTACACAAACACAATTACACAACACACACAATTTTTCCTCTTGATGCTGCCAAGAGAAAAAAGTCAATCGGAAACAGAACCCTAATTAGCTTAGCATACATGGAAAGAAATGTAGGCAATTTTGCACCTAAAATCTTAAAACAGATTAATGGAGTTTGAAATACCCACAGAATTATTTACCTTAAATATTTATTTAGTTGTATTGACAAAATATGAAGATGAATGTTTAAGATCCCCTTAAAATTTTTCATAATTTTTTTCCCCGTTACTGATCACACATCCTTACCAGTATGATTTAACAGTATACTTTTCTTCTTCTGGCTGCCATCTGGTGCCACAGTAAGTTTCACTCGCAGAGTTTTACTGGAACTAGGAGAATGGTTTACTGATGCATCAACTACCTCATAGATGGTATGAAGCAAGCTGGTAATATCCTATGATGGATTGAAACACAGAAAGATACAATATTGTGAAAACTGTATGAATCCTACAACCTCAATACTCAAGACCAGTTTAGGCCTGAGACTATTAAATGCTTAAATATCCTCAGAAGTCACTGAATTCAGAAGAACTGATCTTGCACAGAACATTGCATAAAAGGATAAATTTTTCTCTTCTGTTAGCGCCCACTTTTTCCCAGCAGAGACTGTAAAAGATCTGACAGACACAGAAGGAATGATTCAAGTTGATCCATACTCTTTCTTCACCAAATGGTTAAGATTTATGAAAGAGGGCAAACCAGATCAAAACAATAACTAAAATACAAGGTATTCAGGTTTCCAAAACACGATATGAATGAATGAAATTGTGTTCTGCCTTTATTTTCTTTTGGTTTCAGTAGAACTCAGGGATAATTATTCATTCTGCAGTAAAAATTGAGTTCACTTGACCAAAACAAATGCAGCAATTGAAGAAAAAATTGGACATTTTTACATCTGCAGTAAATCTTACTACTTGTTTTTTTCTTCTTGCATGCCTAACTGGATGATTATATAGAGGAAAACTAGTAAGAGATGTGACAGAACTGTAAACTTCAGGTTTGGAAGCAGCCTGTTACTCAAGCATATCTGTACTGTGATACAGTGTACCTAGCTTACTTTGCAAAATTTCTACCAGTTCTGAAGTTACAGTTTTGAATAGCAGAGATCATCCATTCCAGTCTATTACAGAACATTCTTGTGCACATCTTTGAAAGCAGTGAGGCATGAACAAATGCTTACATGTCCAGCTGTATCGGAGTAAACACTAGCCATTTTCATTGTTTCAAACAGAAGAAACTCCCAGCAGAAACACCACTTTTGTAGCCTGAATATCACACAATCCTCATTTTCTAACCAGGTTTGAAGGTGACACAGAAATACTAATTTCTGCTCACACAGTATTAAAGAAATACTAATTTATGGCCAGGACAAAAGGCTTTACAGTAAACGATCTTCCAGATCAACAGCCAGATTAAATAACTGAAGTACTGAGGACTGAACAGTGGGCCTCAAACGGAAGTTGACCACTATACGAATCTCACAACCAAGCATTATCAGTATCCAATCATTAGTGAAATATGTGTGATCATTAGCAAAATATGTATCTTGAACAAAACATCTCATTTGCAAGAGATGTAGCTTAGATAAAGCATTATGAGAATGTACCTTTCCTTGTTTAGAAGTATAGTGCCAAAGCCTCCTAGTACAAAAACTTCCTTGGTTCCTCCTTAAGCCCTAGCCAGGATTGAAGTAGAATCCAAAAAGGAGAATGAAACCAGATGTTTCTGCCTAACTGTCACATAAACTTGTTTGTTCAAATACAGAAGCTGGACCTTCTTGTAGCAAAGTTGGAGACCTCACCTACAAGTGGACACACCGTGTAGGACCTCCCAATTGCCAGAAAAGGCTCTCCAAATCCTCACTGCAACCATGGCTCCCCAGAGACTGTGGATCTGGATGATGGTAAAGTATTAGGGCAATTGGTGATGCACCTTTTCTTAATCACTGTAATTGATCTCATGGAGTACTGGAGAGGTGCGCTACCTTGTTCTGTTTTATTCTTGCTGTATCATTTCCCTTGTTCTCACTGCTTTAAGTGAATGTAAAAATAAGCTTACATCTTTAACTTGGTGTCTGTGACCTTTGTGCTGACCCCATCCATTGGCAAAACAGTAACAAGATGCTTGAAGGTCCAGACTTTGTCTTAAGTTGTACGCTCTAGAATTTTTCTGCATTTAGTGAAATTTCTCCACATGTGTGAGTTGAAGACAACATATTCATAAAAAGCAGAATTTTTTTTTTTTTCACCACAAGTCTCTAAATGGGCTGTTACTGCCATACCAATAGTCACTTTCCATTCCCTTGACAAGAATCACTGTCTAAAGTCTGAATGAGGAAGACTGCTCAGTGACAATGTAGCAGTCACGTCACAGCTCTTTAACATCTCACTCCTCACACATCCACCCTAATCTGAAATGTAGCCAGACCTCTAGATAGACGCAGTCATATCTGACAGCTAGCTAGAAGGGCTGAGTTTTTATTTCAGCTAAAAGAAAAATGCAGCCAATTAGAAACAGACAAACAAAATGGATGTCTTCTATATACTCTCCATAAATTATGTTCTAGAAGCTTTTTGCTAGAATCCTACACCTCCACAAACCAAACCTCTTCTTTGGCAGAGTATTACAGCAGCACATTTATTGTTAATGGAGCCTCAGCACCTTGGGGAAATGGAGCTTTTCCCACACATTCCTTAACAACTGTTGGTTAGCCAACAGGGCATCTTTCTATGCAAAACTATTATCAAGAGATTATTATCAACTCTTTCATTCACAACAATCTATTTCCCTCCCTTTTTTTCAGCTACACCAGGTGTTTGTACAAGCTTATCATTTACTTTGTTTTTACTTCAATAGCAAAGCTGTCTTTACTCTCCACTCTTGTTTTTCCGGTGATGAGGTTTAACTCGCTAATTGGCATACAGTCTGTGCCTCTTGTTCTGTGAGGGTCTATCAAGCCACTTGACTCAGCAGTTTTAAAAGCACTCCCAAATGCTGGCAAGGAAGGCCAGATGCAGTACTGGTGTGACACATACTTGGCAAATCAGAAATATATGCACACACATCATATCAGGACAATTTGCACCTCACAGCCAAAAGGACATGGGTCAATCCAAATGAATGTCCAGGCACCCAGAAGTTTAAGAGGCTGCAAAAGGAATCAGGACACCTTGCAGCCATAGAGTCTGCTGCCTTAACATTTCATTACGTGTTTAATACTTAGCTTCTTCCACAACAATCTGAACTGCTTTGCATTTTGGCACTGCATGAATGTGGTCGTTAGACTGGATATATACCAAGATCGAGGTTAGGGATATCCATAAGTAACCACTTAATGCTTATGTTGATCTTTTGAATACCAACAATAACATTTTTATTATAGGATTCATTTACTTGTGGTCCTAGCTTGGGCTTGAAAGTCTTAGCGAACTGACAGTTCTGATTTGGCCAAAAAGCCTGCTTGGGTCATTCATTGTTCCACTATCTATCACAGTCCTGGCTGAGAAGGTACAAGCTTCAAGGCAACTTGAGCCTTGTGCTGCTTTCCAGTTGGTGCTTCACTTCCAAATTCCTTAGGGTGCTGATCTGGTAGGAATGAGTTTTGATCTGTGACTAAAACTACCTTCTCCTAGCCTTTCTTGGGCAACTAACGTGGTAATGGCATCTGCCAAATCACAGACCATTACAGTATGTTACAGTAACTGTGTTTCACAGCTATGCCTATATTTACCTCCAAAATAATTGTAATCTTCCAGAAACCTCATGGCAGATAGGGGTGACTTATGCTCCTCTTGAAACCTGTCCCACTAAACATCATCTGTATTTACATTTCCTAAAGAACTGCTTAAACCCATGGATGAAGCTTTGACTTGTACCTGCCAGCTTGTGCGTTTCACCATCAAGAAATTCAGTGCCAAGAATCAAGAATAAAACATGAAATTTCCCTCTCTGCTGGCAGGCTGATCAACATGTCCCAGGATCGCCTACCAAAGAATCCAACTTTTCCACACAGCATCCTACCATGCTTACTACTCTCATGATTTTACAGCTTTCCTAAAGACCGTTCAGCACCTCCAGCACAAAGTTCCAGCCCACATCTCAAACATCTGTGTTTTTTACATGAAAAATAAACATTTTTTAGCGTTTCCCACTTTCCCAAAAATATGGGTTTTGTGCCAAAATGTACTTTTACGCGATTTCTACTTAAAAAATCATTGTGGATTTATAATCTACTATTTTAAACAGTAAAGAGAAATGAGAACAAGAAAAAAAGATCTCTCTCCTTTGTAGCAAACTAATTGTATTTAGTGGGGCTGTGCTAATCCAAATGACTTCTGAAAGGTTGTAAGTGTGCAGTATTTCTGCTGGGATAGCTATTTTAATCAAGTAAGAAAGCTGAAACTGTGATAATTTTCCATAAAGACAAAAACAAAGGCTTTTTGGGTAGTATCCAAACAACTAGCAAATGATATATTCAGATTTAATTGTGTCTTGCTTATTGAGCACCACAGTTGGTTTTTCCAGGGCTGAAAGGTTTAACAGTGTTAATCTTTCTTTCTCACATCCTATTTTTTCAAGTAGCTACTAACAACAATGCATATTAAAAAGAGAAACATTAATAGACAGCTCAAAATTCTTGCATTAGAAATAGGAAGAAACATACAGTATAGGCCACACATGTATGGTGCACTCACACATTTTTCTGCAGAATTCTTTACTAATCTCCAGTAGGAGATTAACAGGAATTTAGAAACTTCAGAGAAACTACTGGGACCACAAGAAAGAACAAGAGCGAATTATCTTTAAGTATTCTTCATTCCTTATAGAACTCATGATGTTTAGCAAGTCCTGATTCTCAGTTTTCTTTTTTTGCTTCTAATTACCATTGCTAGTCCAGTATTGCCTTTGACTCAATTCAAAATGAAAACAGAAAGCATTTTTTCTTAACATTTCTCTTGTGCAAATCCACCAATTTAAGGGGCTGAAATGATGACCCCTCAAATACAGATAGACATGAATCCTCTGCCTGTTGGTTCAGTCGTTGCTTTTTTATCATGAGTTAATGCAATGGTCACAGAGAGAAAAACAGCTCATTTCAAGTGAAGGGTCAGGGTGATAAATGCTAGCCCCAGAAAAGCCAGTATCCTTCCCCAGGTTGAAGATTTGGTGCTGAGTTCTGAATGCAGAAATAACCTCACG